TAGGATATTAAAACGTGCAAATTCTGTTTTATAGAATGTACGTGCAATTGGGCAAAGTCAGTCAAATGTCAATCATACAAATTTTAAGAAGGTAGATTATAGGGTACCCTTAAGGTACCGTACATTTGTCCACGTGGATCAATCAGAATGATGTAGTTGGATTATTTAAATCTAAATTAAAAATGATGTAATGATTTGAACCAATCAAGTGAATTGTAGGTACGGTATCTCATTTTTTAAATGGGTACCGGAGTTGTCACCTTTTAAGAATTGATATAGGACACACAATATTCATTGTGCTATCAAATATGGGTGGACCAGTGCTTATACCGTGGAACCGATGCATGGTGAGCATCATGCACCCTTTGTTATTTTTTATTTCTCCTTTTCTTAAAATTGTTAATAATTTTTTTTATTTTTGATCTGATTTTTATAAAATTTATATCAAATTTTTTTATTTTTCATGATCTTTCAAATGTGACCAATATTGCCTATGTAATTTTAATTTTTTACATTCATACATTTTTTTGTAATACTCCGTATATTTTTATATGCATACACTTTTTCTATAATATATCTTTTTTATCACTTTTATATGTTTTTAGAGGTTTTTAAGATATTGAGTTTGTTTATTTTGCTTCTAGCTTGGAGTTACATTTGAAAATATACAAAGTTACATCATCTTATACTCCAGTTACAAGTTATTATGTGTGAGTTACATCTTGTTATGTGTGAGTTACATCTTGTTATACACGAGTTACATACTTTTATGCGCGAGTTACATGTAATTATGTGTGAGCTACATCTTGTTATGTGTGAGTTACATCTTGTTATACACGAGTTACATACTTTTATGCGCGAGTTACATGTAATTATGTGTGAGTTATATCTAATTATTTGTGATTTTTTACTTATCTTTATCTTGAACTAATTCAATTATAACTGACTTAATTTTTTTCTTTGCCAATTTAATACAAAATTTTATTAATCCACATAAAATAAGTATATTGTATTTCATATTCATACACTATTTTTCAAATGATAAAAATGAAAGATGTAGCAGGGGTTTATTTTGTGGTGTAACTCACATACATTAAAATGTAACTCACGTATATTAAGATGTAACTCGCGTACAATAAGATGTAACTCGCACAGAAGAAGATGTAACTTCATGATATATTATCAAATGTAACTTCAAAATAATATGTTAAAATTACATAAGCAATATTGGTCTCATTTGATAGATCATGAAAAATAAAATAAAAAATTGATATAAAATTTATAAAAATCGGATATCAAATAAAAAAGTTATTACAATTTTTAACAATAAAAGAAAAAAAATAATGAAACAGGGTATAAACTGCGTCGTTTTGCAACCGGGCGCACCATCGTCATTGTGCGCCGGTTGCGGGGTATAAACTCCGTGGGTGGACCGTGGACAAGGAAATTGATTTGCGATCATTAAATTGTCTTTCAAAAAACGCCAATCTGTTAGCTTTCTTTTTCGTACAGAAAGGAAAAGTTTGTTAGGTTTCCTAAACAAGCACGGAAAGTGTTTCTTTGCTGACAGAACAAATTTAATTTATTTTCTTCTGCCGTTGCGCATCTTGGAGCAAAAGTTCTGTTCATCCGATAAGTACTTGTACACTGAAGATTTCATAACAGACATTGTGGAAATAGACAAATACTCCCTCTGTCCCGAAAACAACTTCCCACTTTCCTTAAATGGACGTCCCAAAATTAACTTCTCATTTCCATATTAGGAAAGTTTTTAAAGGTAAAAACTCATAAATGCCCTCGCCATATCCCTCCATCCTTTGCCTATTCTGTGCCCCATTTACTCTGACCCCTCCTTTCAACCCCACGCCATTATATCTCTGTCTTCTATCAAGAACTCTCTTCACCTCTCCACTCTCCTCCCTTCTCATCCATGGAGAAGACAAACATCATTGTCCTCCCTCAAATTCTCCCGCGGGATGATGAAACCCTGGGTCCTGAATCAAATCGTTGTGATATAAACATGTCGCGCTTCCTGAATCAAACCTCGGTGATGATGAAACCCTAGATCAAAACATGCATGTCGCGCTTCCTTCTGTCATTGACAGCTTCCCTAGAAACCCGAATTCTGTAGCCGCTATGGTGAACAAACCCTCAACAAAAGCTATGTCGGACGAGGAAGGTGTAGAGTCTGACCAACGAGGGTGGACTTTGGAAACCGACTCTGGATGGGCCATACGGAAGAAGTGGGGGTTTGACTGCATGGAGGACATTTACGAAGGCTTTCCAGCTTCAGAGGACGAAGGAGAGGAGGAGGTGAACTCGGAACCTCGATGGTATCCAGAGGAGTTAGACCACCTCTTTGGCCATTGTCGTAAAAGGTCGTGGATGCCTCAGGGGACTGATTCCTCATAGGGGAGGCTTCTAATCTCATCTGTTTGACTTTATGCTCCTCTCTTTTTTAATGTTCAAGTTGTAGAACTGAATGTGTTCATTTATTGAATGTGTGATGCCCCTCTCTTTTGTGAACTGAATGTGTTCGTTTATTAAAGTTGTGATGCCCCTCTATTTTGTAAACTAAATGAATTCGTTTATTGAACTTGTGTGCCTAAATCTTACTTGTGTGATCTAAACATTGTGAAGACAGTTAGTGAATTTATGGATATTTGGCTTATTCTCTCCTTGTGTCACCCACTTGTACAAAGTGTTGGAGACCATTTAGGGATTTCTGTGCACAAGCAATTGATGTTTATGTGTAGCATATGATTTGAGCTTACTAAACAAAGTCTCACTGCACACAGGGTGGTTTTTGGGTGTGTATTGTCAAACACTTGTAAATTTTCAACCTTTGTGTGCTTAGATGGATGGATAAGGCAAAACATTAATTGTTTCTTCTACATTTGAATCACTGTGGCCATACATTTAATACTTGTATGACAAGAATGTAAGAAACCACAAAAATAGTGTACTATGGGCATATATGCCAGTACATACAAAAATTGTATCCCTTCTCTATAAAGGAAGTACATACAAAAAAGATTACCCTCCATGTGCCTGAGTTCATTCTTGAAGATCTACTTGATCTTCACTTATTAACTCACTTCCATGGCCCTGATGTGATACTTCTGCCTCAAGTGTTTGCATCTCTGTGAATGCTTGTTTTGCTTCATTCATTATGGCATGGCTGGTTTCCACATTTGTGGGTAGCAACCCCTGTCTTTCAAGTTTTTCCTTTCCAACATGCCTCAGCTTGATCCCCCTTCTGTGCTTTAGTATTTCCTCCATAACATACTGAATGCTGAGGAACAACCTGTTTAATGTGCTATGTGTGAGAGCATCAAATGTTAATGTCACAGCTTGTACTAATTGGGAAATTGACTTAGGGGCTTGTTGTTCCTTTAATGAGTCAATGGCCCTAAAGAAATCCAAGTCAAGCACATTTAGGTCTGGACTGTTAGTGGGTTGACACTGTAACTGTATGTCCCAACCATTTTCACTTGCACATGTGAGAAATCTTCATCTGTCATAAGCACATGTGGCCTTGCATTATCTTGTTGAATGATCACTTTTTTGTTCACTCTGTCTAGCCATTTCCTTTTGATGGCAGGCAGAACTTGCTGCAACAACATGTCTCTGATTACAGACCTTGTCACATTTAATATAGGCTTTGTCTCTAGTGTGCCTGGTGCCCTATTCTTACTTGATCTCTTAGCCTTCTTTCGAAAGGTGAAAGGAAATATACCTACTTTCCCATCCCATATGACATCCCCTACATCCCCAAACCTTGGTCTGCCCACAACTGCTAAAAACATTATTTTGGGTATGAATTTCTTGGATTGGGTAGATCTATATGGATCTTCTTCACTACTGTGAGTGTAAAAGTTGGTTGTTTCTTAGATAAGAAAAACCACTTTTCATCAATGTGAACATGGTCATAAAAATCATGAAAAGTGGGATTTCTTGGGGGGTTATGACTTATCAAGTGGCCTAAACAAAACTCTGACCTTTTAATCTTGCCTGCCTCTTTCAATAAAGGTTTGATTGCATTTGAGTGCCTTTTGATTTGCTTAGCTTTCACTAGTCTGTGCACGGTTGACTTTGAAACTTGCATGGCAAAGCCTAAAGACCTGATGTTCTTTCTCTTGTGCAGTGGGATTTCTTTTATGTCCTCCAAATCAACTGCTACCCTTTTTCTGCCTACATTTCCCTTTTGTAGGCTTTGAACATTAATGGATAACCCTTGATTCATTTGTTACTTTGCTCTTTTCCACAAGTCACGAACTGTCCTTCTACAAATGTTAAACTGTGATGCTGTACTTGTTACAATACCCCTCTGAAGTCGCCCCTCACTGTAGTTTCCTAAGAGAATTTCAACAACCCTACTTCGCTCTGCATTTGTTAACTTCTTCCATTTGTTGGTTGGTGCAGGAGCATTTAACGTCATGGAAACTTGTGCCTGGGTTGTTGTGTTGTTGTGGCTGACATGAGGAGTTGCAGGAACTTCAGTTAGTGACCGATTTGGGTAGGCCCGACCCGTGGATTTTCCGGTTCGGGCTCGGGTCACCCAAAACAAGCCCGACTCAGTCAGGCCAAAACTATTTTTTTCAATTTTTTTTAAATTTTCGGGTTGGGCTGGGTATTTTGGGCCATTTGGGGTGGTTTGGGAGGTCGGGGGTGGGAGGGGGGTTAATTAGGAAGAGGGAAAAAAATGATAATGGGTCTGGCCCGGACAGGACCCGGTGGTTACCCGGGCCGGTCCCGGGTCCACCACTCCTGAACCGCCGACTCGCCCGGGCCTAGGCCCGACCCAGACCCGGCCCGGACCCGAGTCCATCCCTAGCCGAAATGTTGGGAGTTTTTTGTGGTTGAAAGTGTTTAGCATAGATCAGATTGTTTAGCAAAGATGGTGTAATAGTATTAGATGTGATATGTAACGAGTGTTATTGAAATGACTTTTTGTGATATTTAATTTTTTTACCCCAGTACTATTCATTACCCCCTTCCTTTTATTTGCTCTGGCCGCAGCCCTTAAGGCTAATTTTGGAAAGTCAAAGGCAAAAAATAATCTACCTAAAAGTGTGTGAAAGTCAAACCGGGATGTTGTTTTCGGGACGGAGGGAGTAACAGCCTTATAAATTAAAACAAACTCCAATGCCAAAAATGCTACATGGAGTAGCGTATCAGAACTTACAACTAACAGAATATCCTCTTCCGGTAATAAGCTAGATCCAAACAAAGTAGACTTTCTTAATCACCTGCTCAATTCTAAGTGCCTAGCTAAGATCAGAGTACACACAAGGGCATCAATCAAGACATGGGATACAGCACGCCTTTGGAGCATCTCTATCAGTAAGTCTTTTTCCTGGCGGATGGCTTTTTGGCTTCTCTTCTTAGGCTACCAGACCCTGATCCAGACATTACCATCTCAAGGATGGCTTGGTATAAATCCTTCAATCTGTAGAGTAACATTTCAAAAAAAAATAGAGAACACATTTCCATAGAAATAAGTGACTTTGAGAAACAATAATTATGAACAGAATTGAAACAGGAAGTTCAGTCAATTAAATGGGGCAGTTCCCGGAGACAAATATACAATGAAAACAACAAATGTCAACTTAATTACCTTGGCATGCTAATGAAAAGTATAATCACCGCGACTCCAACAATGAGAGGATAAGCATGAACCGGAGTCAACTCCTGGAGATAACATGGGGATATGGATATTAAGATTAGCAGAAAAATAAGGAGACAGGTCACTCAAAACGTATTCAACTTTACCTGCTCCTCTAGGGTTGCTTAGAATCCGTAAAATTCTAGTGAGAGAATAGAAAGGAAACCATGGAGCGAAAATTGGAAGGAAAGAAAATGTGAAGAAAACAAAATATAGGCTAGAGCTCTATATTTTATTTTAGATATTTGTAGATATTCAATATATTTATGTCTATTATAATACTCTTTTTATTCATTCATGTCTTATGAGTTCTAGATGTATGTAAAAAACATAATCATTTTTAATTTTCCTTTCCATTTTGAAATGTAAAACCAAACATAAAGAAATATCATGGCATTTTTCCCATCCCCTTATCATTTTAAGGGCTCTAAACATACACCTAGAGACAAAGAAAAACTTTCAAGAGTGTCAAATTAGACATTTGGCAAAATAGAAGCATACCTGTTTTTGGTAATCCTCCTCAATTCTGTATCTAAGCGGGCCCACATGAATTTGGCTACTTTTCTCTAAATCAACCTCAATAATTTCTGATTCAAATCTATGGGTTCCTGATAGCATAGTAGATCGGAGTTGCAGAAGGTGCTTGCCTTTGGGCAAGTCTTTCACAGAGAAAAAGTTTGAAAGAGGTAGTGGGAAGACAGATTCAATTTTCATTGGGTCAGTAGCCGACTTCACTTCCACCTGAATATGTGAGTAAAGTTCTTTCATTCTCTGCCCCTCAACATGGCAGCTTAAAATTGTCATTTCTGGCTCTTCAAATACAACAAAATCTAACCCCCTAAAATCCTCTGACCCGACCTATAATCAACCAAGCACAACCAGTAAACTGTTAAAAGATAGCGCAACAGATGAATAATTGAAAACTGCCCTACATAATCAGCAAGATGTTTAAAAACCCTTTGTATCTAAAAAACTGTCAAAATATGCTAGCATGCTTTGGTGGGCAAATTTAACGCAAAGGATATGTCAGTCTACCACTCTACCTTAGTAAAACCTAACTTTATTGAACTGATTGCAAATTAATTCAGGCAATTGCATCAGGAACAAGAGAAATGCATCAAATCTGGGTGTATAGAGAGGGCAAGCCTTCCCTTGTCAATGTGACAAGAGGCTACCACCTAACGGTCACACAGCAACATCGTAACCGGTGCCCCAAAGCTCTCCTCTCCTGATTATAACTAAAATTAATCAATCTATTTTCCACTTAAGCCACATATTTCTAGACTTGATAAGGAATTCAGTGAAATGAAAATGATTGAAGCATTATAAAGGATTATGATTCAATGAGGTTCTATTGCATATACAAACCCGCTCCAGAAAATGGGACAAAGGTGCAAAATCCAACCTTAATGGTCACAGATTCTGGAGATGCACGCTCAATCAGATGGTTACCATATTCAACTTTCCTTGAAATTCTAATTTCATAAGTAGTATCAGGCAAAAGCCCCCTTAAGCGGTAATTTCCTGTTGAGTCAGTCAGTGTTTCCTCATAAAAGCCTTCTGTTTCCGATCGAGCTTCTATTGAAACACCCTTTTTCGGCTGACCAGACAAGACAGTGACAACTCCCATGGCACTGGTAAGGTTTAAGCACAAAAAAAATTAGCAAATATAATGACTCGTACATAACCATAATTCATGCATGTATTAGTGCAAAACTGCAAACGTATCATCTGCAGGACTGGAAACTGTAATCCAGTATGAATAGATGGATCTCGGATCTGATGTAGGAATATAAAATGCAAGGCAAGGAGAAATGTGTGCTCTATTGCAATTGGTGCAGGTACCTGTATGCAACTCGAGTGGCATGAAAGATTATCTCTCTAGATTCACCAGAACCAAGTTCAATCGCCTGTGCTGCAGGTGAGAAAGCATATTCCTACAAAAGGAGAAGCCAGTCATTTTTTCAATCTCACATCTGACATTATATTTGTGTGATAACATTACAATTTTAAGAAAAACATATGCTCTGAGCGTTTCTATATGCACTGTCAGTTGCAAATTTGAGAACCCGCAGACTTTTCACATTGCCGATACAAAACATCAGAATGAAGCCAATGTCAAATAGGACATCACCACACATTTCAAACACTTGTTTTAGGTGTGTAAAACTAAGTTGATTGTACAAGCATAATCTGGACTATCACCTTGAGCAGAGGCCGGAGATAAAAACTCCCTGGAAATAAGTTGTCAAAAATAAAAGTTCCCCCAACACCAGTTACAGAATTGTTCCTATAACCATCTTCACCACTCAATGACAAGAGAGCTGATGGAAAAGGCTCTCTAGTATCTTCCTTCGAATATATGCGTACAAATATTTGACCAAGCTTCTGACAAAAAAATGAATGAGGTCCCACATGCTTTACGTGATAACCAGACTGCATGAAAGTTTAAGAAAAAGGTGAGAGAGCAGCATTAAATGGTTGTGTAGTGCAAAAATACACAAATATGTTGTCAAACAGAAGTGCAATATGATGATTATACATGTACCGCCTTCGCATTTAATCGATGATGTGTGTAATCCAACTAATAGAAAATTAATTAGTTAGTGAAAACGCACAAATTTTTACATATTATAATCAACACTGTGCAATACCAAGATCCACATGTCACATACACATGGGTATGGTACTCCTCCACGTGTATTGATTTTCAACCGATGCATTTAAAGTTAAATGGATATGATCATTTTGACAAACATGATGTTTACATCATTTAATTTTCAGGTATAAAATAGTTAGAGTGGTGATAAATGTATAAATTTTAGTGATAACTATATCAGCTTTTCAAATCACTTACTTTTTTTATCAACAAATGAAGCATGCTAATTGCTTTTTATCATGTGCCAATGGGAAAACATTAGAAAAACCCTATTATATACAAAAGATTCTAGATTCCCAATACTCTATGAGTATCAACTACAATGACATGTTCACTACTACATCATCTCCAAATTACTTGTCATTGTTGGGTTTGCAGAGTTTAACAAAGTTTTTATTTACAACAACCAAGCCTTATTCCCAAAAACATTTGGGGCCGACTAACATGAATCGATCCATGATAACTGAGCCAAGGAGAAAAGAAAGATAAGAAATAACAAAGTTTTTATTTAAGTGACAAAAAAAGACAAAGTTTCCTTTTGGGTGATCGATATTTAATTTTGGTATGGTGGAGTTTTATTTAATTGATACTTGATAGGTAAAGTTTGATTATGTAGGCCCATTTCCAGGGGAAAAAATGTCAGAGAAATAATATAGATAGCTCTAAAAGGAAAGTGAAACAAGTAAGTTAGAAGTTAGAATGGAGGGAATATATTCTAAACCATAAGATGGACCATACATTAAAGTTAGAAATTATGAAAAGCATGCTCAACACATTGAAAGGCAGATAAATCATGCTTTCCTGTTTTAGAACACACAAACCTTTGAAGCCTCTACATTGTAATCAATATCATCATATAAGGGTCCTGCAATATAAAATCCATCTGCCCCTGTAGTAGCTTCAGCTGCTACATCACCATGCTTGAGAGGAGCATTGTGGCTTTCACTCGCGGCAATTATTTTGATGTTAATGTCAGAGAGGGGGGGTGAGACTGATCCTTCAATATATAAACCTATGCGACCATAGAATGGGGAAATCACTGGAGGGCAATCATCTTGAATTATAGAGACCTTGTAAACAAAGTGAATGAAATTCAAACATCGGTATAATAGATAAACAATGAAAATGAAATTTAAAACTTATGCATACATGCTGTTGTCTGGGATAGAACAGCATCCTTTTTTCCCCATCACCCCTATCACAAGCACATGAGGCATACATAAACATTAATGTTAGACAGTTAGACTCTGTAAGAATTAAGGACACTGGATATATACCATATGTAAGGATTCGAGGATAAATATATTAACCATACGTCCATACAGAGGAACGATGAAAAATATATGGAAGGGAGAAGATTCAAATTATCAGCTCAGCAGCTATAATCACATACCTAGAGTCTTGGGGGACAAAAATAAATTTATCTCCGGGCATTGCCCATGTTGAATAATCATAAACAACGCTATTGGATTGATCAATATCATTATGGCTAGGAGTTGCAGCAATATGACCAACAACAGAACCTTCAGCGTCTAATACGTCAACTTGTATGTTCTGAGGCAAATATTGTGAACCACTAAGCGAACTTGGGTCTACATGAAGTTGGCCCTTCAGAAGATATTTTTCTCCTTTCAAAGAGATTGGCTACAGAAACAAGAAAATAAATAATGAGAGGAGAGACGGTAGTACAGGAGAAGAGAGAGGTGACACTCGATAGGGGATATGGAATTTTTCAAACTAATTAGCATCATACCGATGGATCAGATGTATCAATTCTCAAAGGGGAGCTACCAAAGGAAATACATGATTTATGAAAGTTCAGTTCATGCACTCCTGGAGATTCCACACATAGGTGCTGAGATCCCTTCTGCAATATAACCATGGTGAAGGGGTAAAAGAATAAACGGTTAGCTATGAATATAGATACTACATAGAAAAGTGTTTAGTGTCTAAGAGATACATCATATAGAGATAAACCTTTATTTCAAATTTCACAAGAGACCCGTCTTTTGCCGCAAGTACAGCATCTACTTCATGACTAGAATGTATGTTAACCCAATACCCTTTCTGCACAAATGATAGTCCTGTAACATCATTGGTCCCAACATTGATATTGGTAAAACTTTCATCCCAACACCATCTATCTTCCCCAGAAAGTGCTCCTAAAGAGTTCCTGACCTGAAAATGAACAATAGCATTCAACGATGAAGGAAATATAAATTTCTTGTTAGAGCCTTTATGCTAACTAGTTGAGGATGGAAGCATTACATGCATACCACCAATTTATTCGATATATATATTATCAATTAATTCTATAAATTTGTTGAAAGAACAGTGGGATTTTTTAGCAATATGCCCTTCCGCAAACTTCTTGCGAACGAATAATTATATGAAAAATCTAAAACTGTCATCACCATAAGTTTTATATGCAATGAAAATATAAACTTCTATAAATATAAATAAAACTCAGACAACTGGATATTGCATATTCTACAAGTTCATGTTTACATATTCCATAGCCTAGTCCGCTTACAGGCACTCTATTAATTAAAATGAATATATTCTTGTATGGGTCGCCAAGCAGATGCATATACAAAGCTTCAAAGTGAGATCTACTTTGTGTACAACTTGAAAAATGACACTCAGGCAAGTGTATTATAGTATAACCATCCTGGGTTATACCAATTATAGCAATTGCATTGTTCGAGCAATTAATTGCAGACATGTGTAACCAGTGCATGCTGGCTTGAGCAAAGTTTTGGATACAAATGCACAATCGTTGTTAAATATGCTATATATACAAGAGACATACATGAGTCCAGATAGATGGGGTAAGCCAAAGGTTCAAGAAAAGAAAATAGCAACCAGGAAGTGAGAGATATTACCTCAACCCTATATTTACCAGGAAGGACTTTTGAGAACACGAATTCATTGCTCTCATTTGTCAAATGAGTTATTTTCCTATCATCCTTGCGTTTTCCATCCAGATGCACGAGAGCAAGAGAAATAGAAGAACCACACCTCTCTTTGCATACAACAGACCCAACTATATTTACTTGCACCTTTAAAATACATGATATAAGATCACCAAATGGCACTATGCTAGTTGATGTGTAATGCTTTACACATTATCTGCTGCATTTCATAAATAGAGCACTTTGATTGAAAATTACCTGATTAAATACAATGTCTAACAATGGCTTTCTGACTGAAATATCAACATGAGGAGGGGAAAATAAAAGATCTGGAAAATTCTCAGGGCTTGCTGCAATTGCAGATAAACGGTACTCACCAGGTGGGACCTGTGGCAGAAGGCCAAGATTAACTGTAAATCTGTAATGTGTTGCTAATTTTCAAAGAAAAAATTTGACTTTCTTTGGTGAAATGTAGTCAGAACATGACACAAATAAGCACACCAATAACCAATCTAGAATTACATGACAGACATAATCAAGTTTAATTGATATTCAGCATTATGTGAAATTAGCATGTAAACTTGGTTCGGCTTATTATCTAGGAAAATATAGTATGGAGTATCAAATAAGCAGAGCAACAAAAGTGGTCACTGGTCACCGCGTGACAGGTTGACAACACATTCTGTATTTACCAAATAAAGCATTAGCCTGGAGGTAGTTTCTTCCATTTCTAATTCCGTCAAATCCGTCAATAGACAACTCAGTTTACCAGTCATTGATCCTAGGCTCCAACATACAGTAAAAAGGCTCCTGAAAATGGTCTAAGTATGGTTCTGTGCTAATGTTCGTTTCATTTTTCTTGACTCAGCAATAGACAGCTTAGCATACCGACCATTAAAGTGATTTAACTAACATTACTAATTTACTACAATAAGATACAACTCAAAAAGACCACTATCTGCTCGCATATTGGTCGACCTAAGCTGAACCAGTGAAGCTGAGAGAAAGTTATTCTAATGAATCAAGTCATTGACAAATAGCATTTCGAGAACGCATTTCACCAAATATAGTAATATTGGCTAATTATCATGGTTCATAAGAATCAGCAGACCCAGGCTGCAAATGCCAGATAAAACAAGTCAACAACTAGCACAACAGCAACCACTTTTGAATTGTGCTTTTAAAACATACCTCAGAACAAAACTTTCCACTGTCATCTGTCTTTTTCACTTGAGGTGTCATGTTTTCTGGTCCATGAGTAAGAGTTACCTGTATTGTAAAATTACTTTTAAGGAGACATGAAGAAGACGGTTCGATATGGAGAACCACAAACTACTTTTTATTGATACATGGTACAACTAAATAATAGTTACAATAATAATCTCCTAAAACTAAATATTCATATATTCTTAAAATACTATAGTTTGATACATACCACTTTTTGCAATATAGTTTGACAAATAATCTCCTAAAAACCACGAACTGTATTTTTGTGATTATATATTTATTTATTTTTAATATTTCTATATTGCAATGCATCTTCTCAAGTTGGAGCATATAAGTATTAGTCTCAGCTTGATTAAAATACTGGTAAAATAAAGTTGATACTGAACACAGAAAAACTTCAACTAGAATTAGAAATTGAACTTTTGTTGAAATTAAATTTCCTTGAAGTTGAACCGCTTTAGAGTTGAACTTTAGGCTTGAACTTATCCTTTGGGCCCACACAAGCGCCCTCAACATGAACTTTAATGTTCAAGTTTCACTGCTTCAGACTACCGAGTGGCATAGGAATCCCAAATAGCTGCCACATAAATGTTGGGGTAATGTGATTGCGTTGGATTTTTTATATACTGGCAGACTAGTTAGAATATTATTTTGGTCTCAAATAAGGTAATATGACTAGTTAGAATATTATTTTGGTCTCAAATAAGGTAATATCGTAATAACTTTGGAGCATACAAACATTACATTCTCACACTCCAAGCCAAATCCTTGGACTTACATTCCATAAACCAAATGAACTTAGAGACTATTGAATGCTTCATTTTCATTTTCATTTACCCCAGTGCCGCAAAGGCTCCCACCTACGGTGGGGTAAGGGGTCGGATGTACGCAGTCTTACCCCTATACTAAAGCACAGAGAGACTGTTTCCGGATGACCCATAGTGAAAATCGCGTCCAAAATTGCATGGACTGACTGTTGTTCCATAACAAAGAAGCGCAGACAATTTAGTGAGCCATTTTGCTTTATTCCATCATAATCTCAAGCCAAAAAATAATGAATCTTTGGCTCCATTGCAAATGATGGAAAAAGACTATTGAATGCTTATATATAAAAAATTATGACTTATGAGTTATGAGTATATATGCAATAGGAATCGGGGCAGTCCATATCATGATCCAACCCGTACAATAACAACAGTCTACGCTCATATGGCTTGGTGGTCAAAATCTTGTACAAACCCGCCAATTTTGTTTTATTGCTAGTCAGATTGTTTCAATGTGTAGGTTTCACAATCCAGTTCAAGCAGCGGAAAAAAAATCTGGAAAAACTATTTGTGTTTCTCAACTTCTCAGTGTGAGCTATTCATGCACCTTAATGCTTCCAGTCTTCCAAAATCGACGAAAAGACAAGCTATTTTACTCTGTCTTCTGGTTCGATCCTACTTTTCTAAAATCAAGTCAGGTTTGTACTTTGTAGTCCTACAATTCTTCATTATTTTATTGTCTATCATTTGATGTTTTGTTCATATCTGATATTTGGCCTCTGGCCTGATGCTCTGTTCTTCTGCTACAGCCTACAATTCATCTACATTTTTTTCCTGAGGCTTATATAGGCTTGGTAATTCAATTTTGTTCCTGCCGTTTTTATTTATGGCTTCAAGAAACAAGCTCTTGTGCTCTGGCCTGAAGTTTTATTTTTGTTTCTTCCACTTTTTGTAGATGATTATTCTTTAGCGGAAAAAGGGTCAAATAGACCCTTCTACAATTGGAGATTAATCACTTAAACCCATGTACTTTAGAAACCATCATATACACTCATTTAATCTTAAAAAACTATCACTTGAGCCTAATGACCTGAAAGTAACCTTTAATAGCAGGTTATCCTCTACTTCCTTTTTCTTATACTCCGTATTTATTTTTCCGTTCTCTTTTTTTGATTCCGTTAAGCCACTCCCTCGTTATCACAACCCAGCGTACCTCCCCGTTAGTTACACCCATTTTATTTTATTGTTTATTCATTTTTTGTTTTTTTACTATCTTTTCTGCTTTAAATTCTCCTATCCCTTTTATTTAATTCATTTTTCCTATCCGTATTCCTTATCATCAAAGTGTCCTCCTTCACTCCCAGTCAACCCGCCGGCCACAGCAACCTAGACAAAGAAGCATTCATAGATTCCGGCCTCTTCGCCGGCCATCTCTCCATGGCCGTGGCAGTGCATCGCAAGATTACCAAATTTTGTCGGCCGCCCCTTCAGATTGCACCCCTTCTTCATGTCGATTTGAAGCTAGGCTGTACTCTGTAGGATTATATATATACAGTGTGTTTATATATATAGGAAAATTCTCAGGTCCAGCACCTCCCGGTCCGAACGCCATCCGAACACCGCCGTTTGGGGCGGTTCCCGGTGGAATTTTTTAATGAAATTTTTTGAGCATGTTCCTCATCAAGTCTAGTTTATCCATACCAAATTTCAGCTCAAAATTCGATCGGGAAAGCAGTCAAATAATTCGTTGAAGTTAACTGCGTTTTTCTATGTATAATTTCGTGCAGTTAACTTCAACGAATTATTTGACTGCCTTCCTGATCGAATTTTGAGCTGAAATTTGGTATGGATAAACTAGACTTGATGAGGAACATGCTCAAAAAAATCATCAAAAAATTCTGCCGGGAACCGCCCCAAACGGCGGTGTTCGAATGGCGTTCAGACAGAAAAGTGCTGGACAGGAGAATGACTATATATATATATATATATATATGACAATGTGATATGTAAGTATATACTTCGTACATGGAAAGCAGCATCTCTACTGTGTTGTCGAATTGCTGAAAAAGCTGAATAGAGGGGAAAGAGAAGGCTAAAGATAGAAACAGCGCTTGCTTGCTTGGAAGAGATTCTACCGTTAAGCATCATCCCTTGTATGCTTTGCATTGTAGGCAATTGTGTTTTACTACAATTATAGTACGGAGTATTTTGTCCACCTGTGTTTCTTTGTTTTTATATATAAATAGAGTATATATATTAAGAGCATATGTGTAGTGTGTATATAGATGTATATTAAGAGAGAGAGAGAGAGATTGAAGATGAAAGGTATAAAATTGCTGACATGGAGTTGCAGCTAGAAGGTTAGGAAGGCTCGGACAGAAAAATGAAAAAGGGGGGAAAGGTAAATCCGGCTTTGACCGGTTAACTAGGTTGCTTCCCGGTAAACTTGAATAAACTGATTGTTTTTATCAAGTAAATGTGTTTAAGTGATGCTTTTATTAGTAGATGGGTTTATGTGATGGATTCGTGATAGTTGAAGGGCTTATTTGACCCTTTTTCCTTCTTTAGCAGTCCATTAGGAACACTTATAAACTCGGGAAAGAAAATGTGTAGGAATCTGTAGGAAAAATTTGGAAGAAAAAATGCTGAGGAAAATAAAATATTGGTTCTAACTCAGCAAATTTATGTTTAATTTTTGTTCAAATAGATTTCATTTATTTGTATTATATCTGCTAAGAAATCTAAACATACGTCAAAAATTAGAAAACACTTATCGAACTTCACTTCCCTTTGCATTTTCTAACGTAGATCAAAATGTAAGAAAATAACATTCCTTAGTGTCTATTTCCTTGCCCTAGAATTCCAAGATCCAGATATAGCATGTGTGTCTCAAACTTGTATGTCTTGCAAACTTGCAGTCTTTGTGTTATGTTTTAAACAACACGTTTGACTAAATTCTTCATGATTTAATAATGACATTGAATATAAGATACATACATGTGTGTGGCGTGTATGTATGTATGTATGTATGTGTGTGTGCATACACACACACTTGTATAAATACATGTGCAGGAACTTAATTTGTGCTATGATACAATTTGTGATCTTTATAACTGTACACAATCCTATGTAGGATCTCGAGTTTGACTACCTAGAGAGGAATTAGACCCACATGCACACATATATGCTCTTTAATCACAATAATGAGATCAAATGCCTTTTTTCAGTTTATAGATGAATAGGTGTTTATAAATGATTCTTTGTTATTGTTGAGTGTTTACATTGTTTTCTTAGGTAAAGAGCTGGTGTACTATACGTCTATACTCTATACCAGGTTGTATATTGTTCTATATCTCATGTCATTGACTCATTGTACTTTCTGAAGTGTCACTACACTGATGTGCACTTCAAACCAGGGGGTTGTTATTTTAAATGATGCTTATAGACCATAAGCATCATTTAAAAGTTATGGATAACGTTACGAAACCAAATTAGCAACAAAAAAGAATATTTAAACACAGCCCATTGGTATTCCGTAATTCCATTTTTATCTAGACGGCCCATTATCATATTACAATATTTCCATGGTTCACACACATTCCACAAAGTTAAAAGCAGCACACTATTTTTTACACAACAACAACATTCGACCCTTAGTCCCAAAAGAATTTGAGGCCGGCTAACAAGAATGGTTATATGAAAACAAAGCTAAAAAAAATAGATAGATTAAAATATAAGATAACATAAAAAGGATAAGATAGAGATACAGATAAAAAGATAAGATAAAAAATATATAAAAAAAGGGGAAAAGAGTCAGGTAGGGTCTCGAACTTACAAAAAAACGTCAAATACGGCCTTATATAGGAGGTTCTTGAAGATGAGTGCGCAATTAAAAGCGCAGTTATTTTCAAGAATTTATTTGAATGTCTTCCCGATTGAAGTTTTAACTGAAATTTGGTATGAGTAAACTAGATTTAATGAATAAGATTCTCACAAAATTTCATTGAAAAATTCCACCCGGAACCTCCCTAAATGGCGTCGGCAGGACAGAACCTCTTATATAAGGCCTTATTTGACATTTTTTTGTAAGTTCGAGGCCCTATCTGACCCTTTTCTCAAAAAAAAAAATAAGAGGGGGAAAATAAAATAAAGAGATAAATGAGATCAATCACCCATACTATTTTTACCATTTACAAATTTCTAAAATGGTAGAAAACATACATGGTTTGTATTACTTGGTTACTATGACTTAACTTCGGCCCAACATATATAAAAAATATTCACAAACAGCACGTCAGTTTTATATGGTATTCAGCAGGTCCATCTTAGCAGCAACGAACTAGCACACGCATAAACTTGTTTCAGGTTATAATGGTACGGCAGAGTTAAGTAATAATTAACCATACCTTGGCTGTATAGTCTCTGTTAAATGTATGGACATTTCCACATACATCATACGACAAGGCATTGATCTCAGCAACTGAAGCCATATTTGGTAAAACCTAAGAGGTCAATATTTTAGGTGAGAAAATTGAAACTGGATTTTCCCATATTAGAGTAAGGAAATGCTAAAGACAATATATATCTTCAAACACAAAAGTAAGCCAATTATGTGGCTATTCAGGGCAAATAATTGCTAAGCAAAATAGCTTACCAAAAAGTCATTCAGCCTGTTAAATTTGTAATGCTCCTTCTTCGCCTCCAAATTGTAGCGTTTTGATGTAACCTAGAGATAATATAAAGGAACAAACAGTGAATGAATAAAAAAGAAACCCATGTGAGTATGTGACTGTCTGACATAAACAAATAAAAAAACTGCAACAATACTTCATCTTTTTTCTTTATGTGCTTTTTCCGTGATAGCATCACAATTTGCAAATAGAGTACATATAAACACAAACATTCGTTTGTAGTTTGTCTGTGATTTCTAATGACTTAGTACTTTATCTTAATTTTGACGACATTGGTAATTAAACTCTATAAATATTTCAATATCCTCTATAGTAATGTTATCAATATTAAAGGTGCTTTTGAAATATAGCTCTTTGCTGAAAGGTCAATTTAGCAAACACTCTACTTATGAAGCTCCAGCTTTTAAAACCCTGTTTGAAATGCTAAATCAAAGTATCAAACACATCCCGATTCCTAAACATATTATAATTGTGTGTATTTATAAATAAAACTGTGCTAAATGTTGCACACATAGTTAAACACTCACAAAAAGGTAAAGACATGTTTATGACTAGTATTTAAAATACTTTTCACGGTGTTAGATAAGATTCATTCATAAAAACTTTGATATTAAGTATCATATTTTTATAATAATTATATGATATGATATACTTAGTATATTCTGTTATCATTAAATACAACGTTAAGTACCCAATAATCGTCAAAAATCACTACACAATACACACACATGCATGACTTTGAGCGGCAGGGCTCCATCATAACTAGATTGCCCTTTTCATGGAAATCCAAGGCAGGGTGGCCCAATTAAAGTAGGCCAGGTCATGTGAGTAAAAAATATTTTCAAATAACAAAAAGAGATTGAAAAACATGAACAGTAGTTACAAAGCTATCAACCTTGAACAAGAATATGTTCTTTGATTTCTGAGCTTCAATAAAAAGAACGAAATGCATCAACTTCATATATCTTACAAGTAATGCATACTTTGTATATCTTACCTGATCAAGCTTGTAATATCCTTCATTGTCAGTTACTGATCTTTCCTGACCATCAACTATAATTTTAACACCATCCACTCCCTCACCGTTCGCATCAACTACACGACCACCAACAGAAAATCCAGTGACCTATTAAAAATTTATGTAGCCCCATACAAAATGTGATTATATCCAACAAAAAATTCAAATTAGCAGTAGCTTGTGCAAGTAGTAGTTCGCCTATGCCCCCTTATTCGGACTACAAGTGGGAAATTTTGGAAGTGGAGTACCAAATATGGTCAATTTAGAAGTTGATGAAAATTTCAAAAATGCAATTATCAAGGGGTAAAAACTGAATAACCCTAGGTTTGAATATTTTTCAAAAATAATTTGTTAGTTGTTATATTCTTAAAATTTGAATACAGCAAAAACTTGTGTTACGAAAACCTTCATTCGGAAGAATGAATGATCAAGAAGTAATCAATCATACAAGTGTTCAGGAGTTCACGAATATATAATCAGCTCTCCTGGACACAATCAACAAGAACATACAGGTAAAGCTTCAAGGTGATTGTTATGCTATGTTGCTACGATACAGAGTGGTAAACATAATTTTGTGGATAAAAGAAGAAAATGATCATTCTTGGCCAGCACTTCATCTGAATCGCCCGATATCTGATAATAGTGCAATCACTTGTTTAGAGAATGTATTTGGATTTTGGAAATCGAAAAAATTGTACCTGAAACTTTTGGGGGACTGTTGTGTGATCATGCATTACACTGACTACCACAGAAGATGGTGAAACGTCAAAAATGGTGTTTTCACCTTTGTAGAACGGTATAAGCTTGTAAGACCCTGCGGATAGTCATTATGTAAATCATTTGTGTAAAAAATCCAAGCTCGAGTTTCAAATAATATGTATAACCTTGTTGAACACGAAAATTGAGGTAACCAAATGACTTTATATGCAGCAAACCATTTTTATGTTAATTCATATTCAATATGCACCTAATATGGTCAGATAGCTACTTCAACTACTACTAACAGTCCCTTCCACACAAGATATACCATATCTGGTATACCAGCTGAAAACTACACCCAAACACCTCTACAATTATGAAAAGGGGGGTATAATAATTACCACAAGGAACTGATTTAAATGTAAAAACTCCATCAGCGTCTGTCGCAGAATGACACAGGGCTGCCCCTTGTGCAGGATTAGCAGGTATATTACCAAGATCATCATGGCAATCAACCATTGAGATATCATCCGAATGTAGGTAAATATGGACTCCTAATATAGGATTTCCCTACAAAGTGAAAACAAAACCATTCATAAGGGGAGACATAATTGTGCAAAAATGCCACAAAAAGACCATAAAAGAGCATTTGAGGGTTTGTATACCATCTAAACATGATACGAAGGAAAGAATATATCATATACATGTGTCTCACAATGAGAAAAAATTATAAGCTAGTGCACTGGCGTGCGCCCAACCCACCCAAGTTCGGTAACAATTTTATTGCTATACGTAAAGCTTTTGCAATAAAAAATTGTGGAAATGATTTTTTCCATCCCAATCCAAATTTGGATAGAAGGTAGTCCTGTCTCTCCCAACTTCCTCATGTAAACAAGTGTGCCATAGCTGAACTACTAAAGCAACAATTTATATTATATATTTCAATTCAATGATAAACTATAAGAAAGTCGAGCTAGAGAGAATTCACAGACAAATCTGTCCAGTGTACTTCCCTGAAGGGAACAATAAAGGTAATGGAGGCAAGCATGACATATATTATCATCGAAAACAAATTCACCTGAGCTACAACAGATCCACGAATATCATAGCCAGGGACAAAGAAAAAGTCATCCACTATGATATTCTCAAAACTTAATTCAACCTGCAAGAACAGTATGGCTTATCAGATCAAGTTACTCAGTGCATCCCTATACAACCAAAGAATTAGAATATACAATTGGAGGAGATCAGTGAATAACTCCAGCCAAATACATAAAAACAAGACAAACTGATACAATGTGAAAGAGGAAGCCTGGAACCACCTCAGCCACACCTCTGACTTGAATGTTCAAGTCATGTCGGGATGCTCGCAATTTGTACTTCCCTGTATATCCAATAACAATCAGTCAGAAAGTAATATTATTAATCCTAATCTTATATGAATAGAAACTAGCGCAGCAGCGAATCCATGATAATTCCCAGCAAACAATGAATCAATAATCATAAATTAGTACCGTGTAATGTTCAACTTGACATGCCCTCAAAATAAAAATGTCATAACAGAATAATTACCAGGAACAACATTTGTGAAGGAATATGTTCCCAGAGAAGTAGTTAATATTGACGAAACAACATCATCTCCGAGAGACAAAAGCTCAACTTTCACATCAGGAGGACCTCCATACTTCTGTGTACAACTATCCCCACCCACAGCTCCCACAATTCTCCCTGACACGGTAAACCTACAGTACAAGTAACTTATAGAAACGTGCATATAAAACTAAAGCAAATTATAGTGTCCACACAGTAACTGAGAATCGTGGAAAAAATGAACTTCACTATAAACGAATTTCAAAACTTGAAAGAATTTTGACGGACCCAGTGAACCGAAAATTGACATCTTCATTGGCATTGCAACCAGTGTGATCAACAAGAACACGGACCTATAAAAAGGTATCTTAAGTCAAATTATGCTAGAAGAAGAAAATAACAACATGTTACCTCAAAGAGTCTTCCTCAATACACATGGAAAAGGTATGCAATGCATAATAAATAAACTAAAAGACGCTTAACCTGTTCTGGGTCCCACGACCATCCCTCTGGTCCCCTTGCTTTGACAATGAAAGAACCCTGACATAGTTTAACATGGGAAAAGTGTGCATCAGGTGCTAAGAAATTAAGTAGCAATCTAAACTTTAATGCTGTATTTGAGTGAATGGACATTTCTCACTTTCCTAATAAAACAGTCAGATAGGATCATATGGCAACATAACCTCATACAAGTAACAGATAGACCATCTTCAGACCAACCTTGTCATATACGGGTATAAAGTAATAACCATTCGGAGCACATTGCGTTCTATCTTTCACTAAGCCATCCAATGTCCTAAGCTCAACCTGCATAAAGCAATACAATCTAGTAACTTAACCAAATCATTATGCACGAAAAACTTGGCAGCAACCAATGAATGGCCAAATGGGACTACTAGGCAATCTACATTCCGTGTAGATGCTATATTGGTGATTTCATTTTACTCATTATAATTTATTTTATTTGAAATGTTTCATGTGTTGAACAAACACAAGTTTAATTTTTAATGGAAATTTTAATTTTTCATCCAACTAAAGTTTTCATAACTTGGAGAACCCCTACCGAGATATGCGAATAGTCCAACTTCGCATCAGACTGCTTCCTCGACTTGATCAGTGCCCGACTTGCCTGCAGCAATCCCAGAAGGAGATAAAGAAACGGCACTAAGTATAAATAAGTTTCAGATGCTGAACTGGACCTGTTACACTTAAACATATTCGATCTGATCAAACTCGGACTTCTCTGAAACTAAATGCGATTGCTGAAAAGTAGTAAATGAATCACCTCAACAAATCCGCCGCAGCCTTGTATTGTATCGGCAGCGGTGCGTGTTGGTATGCATAGAAATAGAACCAGGGTCGCCGAGAGAAGAGCACAACACTTTGCCACCATGTTCGGTGATGAAGTGTCCAGGCGAGCGTCAGTCACAGATCTTTGCTCTATTGTCACTAGCCCCCAGGGTTTTCCAATCTACGTAGTACTGTATATCATAGATGGAATTCTATATCCTACGTATATTACCGAGTAGCATAGGCCATTAGAGCCTATTTGATAATTTGGTCCAAAGGGTGGAATCTCCCCAGGAGTCCCACGTACCCCGACCCGACAGGATTTTTGGGAGTATGTTAATCACGGTGACTCAGTCGGCCCAATGATGGTAGGCCTTTTTCCCGTGCGCAACAGAGGCCCAGCCTTATTTCAGGTTCTGTGACCTCCACACGGCCGTTGCGGGTTTCGAACCTGGGTCACTTGGTCCAAATTTCCCACCACTGAATCAACTGAGTTACCCGTGCGGGTAGCCTATTTGATAATTGAATTTGCTGTAATAAGTCAATTATGGAAAAATATAAAATGGAAAACAGCTACAATGCTCTTTTATTATGAATTCAATCGATTCAGATAAAAAGTAATTTTAATCATACTTATTCGGTTTAAAAGTTATGCATTTGGTGAAAATGTTTTCTGATAAGCTGAAAAACATGACCATCAAATAACTCTTAATTCTATTTTGTTGAAAAAGATAATTATTATTACAGTGAAATATATGTAAATATTGCACAATTGGAATATTGGTTAGACTAACTCGAACTTGTATTTATTGTCTAATTTTTCCCTCCAAAGAAAACAAACCATCATAATTGGTGGTGTAAGAGTTGGAAAACTCTTACCGGATTTACTAAAATAATAAAGAAGTACAAAATGCTCATGAAAGTAGGAATTTGAGTAGATAAAGCAAAAGTAATGAACATGTGAAGCTGATGAATAAGTAATGCCAATAAAAACTAATGAAAGCACTAATAAAAAGGATTTGCCCAAAAAAAGGAAAAAAATTAAATGTTGTAACTCCGTATATATCCCATAATATTAAACTTGTTTTGGAGATGAGCAATTCTTCTGGACCTTAGCTGGGATAGCATTTTCTAATTCAAGTCACTTAAGCGATCAAGTTGTTTTTGGTAAGAGATATAATTCAAAAATGTGTTAGTGTTCGAGTTATCAACAACTATAGTTGGAGAGTCACCATGTAATAAAACAATGTCCTTATTTTGATCTTGATTCGGTGAAGAGACCTAAGAGAAACATTGTTGATAATTGCTCTCATGTTGTAATCTGTATCATGTGATTCCACAATAGCCTCCTCAATGTCTCTCATCTTATGCACTATGGGCTAATGGGTATTTGTGTTATAGGCTATTGTGTCGGATAAAAGTTGTTAAAATAGAAACGCTAGTTAAATGAAGTAGAATTATTGACTACACAACTGAGTGGGGAAATGTAAAATTACTAGAGAAACCAATGTTTTAGTATAATTGGTAAAAAATGAATAACATGACGGTAAATTTAAAACAAGATTCCCGTAAATTAAAGTACTAGACTCAAACGCTATGAATAGTGATGTTTCAAATCAATTGGTTGGTTTTTTATTTAACCAAGTTCACATCTCTATCCAATCAAGACGATATGTTAATCGATTGCCTGGGCTGATAATACTTTTGATAAGTCGGGCTTGGTGCTAAAAATATGGAGTTGGGGTAGAGTTGGGTTCAAAATCCGAGACCCAAATGAATAAGGGAAAGATCGAAACCGAATCGGAAATTCGATTCTCATACAAACACAAACCAAAACTCAGTTGAAATTACATTGGGAATCCAAGTTCGGGGCCCAAATTTCCGGTTCGATTCAGGTTAAAACCCATTTTTTCAAATCTTCTATCATGAATAGAGTTCATAAATCACCAAACATCTAAATGACAATATTAATGATCCAAAACGTACACATACTAAATACAAAAGACATATACAAACTTATAAGATAGCCACAATTTAACATCATTTCCAAATTAAATTAAAAACTAGTGACCTTCAAAAATAGAACTAAGATATGTATGCTTGTACATTATGATTCCAATCTAGAAAGGATTGAGACTTGTGTATTTGTGCATCAACCAAAACTTGAAACTTTAAAAATCATAACAAACAGCTTAGTGTTCCGAAATTAAATTAAGAATGAAAATTTTCTTATTATTTATCACAAAAATTTTACAATTGGTAATTACAAAAAACGGCGATATTATGAGATAAAACTTTCATGAAATTATCATAGATGATGAAATACAAAAAATTGTGTCAATTGGCCTACATGGCTACAACGCCGCACTTATGAAATTTGATATTGCATTATTAATACTACATAACACTTGTTGGTGGAATTCGGCCGGATAAACCTGCAAAAATTGTTAGAAAATAATATAGCTCGAGTCACGTGAACGATGTATTCAAGAAAGTATTTTCGACTAGCGAAAACATTTTCTCAAGATAAAACGAGCTATTCAGCGTAAGCCGGTAACAGAACAACGAGAGTGAAAATTTATTAATCCAGCAGAGTAAAAAAATATAGAGGGTATTTTGCTCAAAAATGATTTTTTATACTCCTAGCATTTTGGCCCTTGGCCGAACACATATATATGTGTGCGCAAAAGGAACGTTGTCTTCCTAGCCAGATTAGAAACGACCGAATTAAACAACATATTAAAGTCTGTATGTTAATAGTAACGTTGAATTCATTAAATAAGATTAATGTTGAGATAATCCTGAAAGCAACAGCTCAACTCCAAGTTGCAACGCATGGTTTATAACAACAATAGCATATCATGACTCAAGATTAAATATAATAATTAATAAATAATAATAATAATAATTAATATGTGTATAAGATGTATAAACAATTATTAGTAAATTATTGTGTGCAAAAATAACTAAAAGAAATAATATATTTATTCATTTGAAATACTCCTATTTTTTCAACAACGCTTTATTTTACAATATAGCTAAATTAAATAATAATGATTAATCGTCACTAGATTACCGTTACTACATTACCACTTTTATATTACTAGTATATTATAATTACTATTATTGTTATCTTTTTATCATTGAACAGTTTTATATAGTACGGAGTAAGTATAAAATGTTTGTGATTTAGAATTGAAGTGTGATTTATATACATGTATTTGTAATTCCTGAAAAAACTTAAAACATTAAACAAAAAATAAAAATTGGTTCGGTTCAGTCTGAACTGATTTTTAGCCTCCAAAACCGATTTAAACCGACTAATATTTGGGTACCGACCTATGGGTCCTGATAATGCCGGTTATGTTCTATTTCGGTTTTTCTAACTCAGTTCAACCTTTTTGTTTGATTTTCGGTTTAAAGTGTTATCCTACCTCAAGGTAAAAGAAATAGCTTCTATGTATAAGTCTTCCAAAAAACTGGGGTTCAATGCATTAAACATTTCCATGTTATTTAAATGGGGGTTTCCCTTAAATCCTCTATACTTAATCGCAAATTAAATTATACCATGGGATTGGTCCACCATGAACATGGTGTGCCGATCCCAAACGATATAGTTTTATTAATTAAAAAGCAATCAACTCTTGTTCGCCAGGGTAATTGATGCCGCCGACTGAGTTATTAGACAATTGTCAGAAGAAGATCACGAGCTCAAGAGAGAGCTGATAATTGATCTCAACGGAGAGCCAAGTTAGTTATTACGTAAGAAGGCATGCATGGGAGAAGATCGCTAGCCTGGGAGCGGATAACTACCTACGGCAAAGCCATGAGAAACTTAGAAGTTATTTAGGAATCTTCTTTATAAATATGTATATATTTATTTAAGACATTGAGTTTGATTATTTTGATTCTTGAAGTTACATTTGATAATATATCATCAAATTACATCTTCTGCGCAAGTTACATCTTAATGTACGTGAGTTACATCTTACTATACGCGAGTTACATCTTAATGTATGCGAGTTACACCACGGAATAAACTCCAGCTATATCAATTTTATTGCTGTAATATTAAAAATAAAACATATTCACTATTTATAAAAAAGTAATTAAGCTATTCGGATCTATTTTTCATTATTTACATTGAAATCAATATTTTATTTCTTATACTATGTAATTGACAAGTTACATTTCGAACGGACTTGAGTTACATTGATCAATAACGTGAGTTACATATCTTTACAGGCGAGTTACATCATTCATCCTACTGTACACGCGTGTACAGTTCGTGCGCTTTTTTAAAAAAACTGTGCAAAGCTACGTCATTTTTTGGAGTGGAGCATGATGTTCAAGGTGCGCCGGTTGCACCGTATACGAACTGTTACTTAATAGCAATACAAATTCATCTGAACTGTTTATTGAAAACGATGTTCACCCTTTGCTTAAAAATATCATTTGTTGTTTTCTTCCGTAACTCTCTCCTTTTATGATTTTTCTTTCCATTTTCCCCCTCTTCTATCCAATTTCTACGGATCTTTTTCCTTTGGTTAGTGCAAGTGTACACGTGTGTACTGTTCACGCGTGTACTGTTCGTACGCTTTTTTTTAACTGTGCAAAGCTACGTCATTTTTGGGAGTGGAGCATGATGCTCAAGGTGCGCCGGTTGCACCGTATACGAATTCATCTAAACTGTTTATTTGAAAACGATCTTCACCCTTTGCTTAAAAATATCATTCGTTGTTTCCTTCCGTAACTCTCTCCTTTTATGATTTTTCTTTCCATATTTCCCCTCTTCTATCCAATTTCTACATATCTTTTTCCTTTCGTTAGTGCAAGTGTTTTTAACCTGCTTCCATAGCTGCAAGGGCTTGATCACATTTTCCGTTTCTCACCTCATTTCTTAGACCTGGATTTCTCATCTTTTCTTTATCTGAAATTGTTGCATCTTAGTCACCTTCTTCATTCGAACTTCGATCTTCTCAGACACATTCTCTATTCAGAATTGATTCAAACTAATTCTCACATTTCTCCTTCATTAGAAATCATTCTAGTTCAGACATGTTCATCATAATTCACTCCACTCAGAATCTCACTTCTCCCTGACTGCCAAATCGTAAATAGTCGGAGTTCAGATGCGCCTTCATGGAGCTCAAACTAACGCCTTAGATTTGTCATTTCCTGTGACTAAAACTAAACCACAATTCCTCCTCGCTCTTCTCAATTTCAAGATGAAG